CACGGGTGTGGGGTCCGCTGCGAATGGATTTCGCAAGGAGATCGGAGAAGGAGTCCGAGAGGTTGGAAGGAGCGGTGTATTTGCAGAGAGGCCATGAAGTTGGGAATCCTGGAGGGTGGAGCGGAAGCGGGAAGCGGCGATAGCCGAGGTGGAGTCGGATTGCATGATAGCGGGATCATTCCAGGAGTTGGAGCGGGGAAGGATGGAAGTGGGAAGATCTTGAGTGTGGACGAGCCGGGGCCCGAGGAGACCCTGAAGAAGAAGGGGCTGGGCGATGGCGGCCGTCGGAGAAAGAAGGGGATCGTTGTCGGTCATGGGAAGAAAGACGGAAGAAAGGGTCGCGACAAAGATGAAGAAGCAAAGACGGAACGGGACGAGATGTCGGATAGCGATGAGGCAAGGCAGGAAAACGAAGGCTTTGTACATCAACTGTTGTTGGTGTACAAAGACAAGAGAATAAGCACTTGGTGCTTGTTATCTTGTTTGTGCCAGCTCATCCAATGCCAATGCTGGGTGAGCAGGCACCACCTACAGCTACCTGCCGGTCATGCTGGCTTTAAGGTTGTGGACCCTCATTTGCTCTGCTACTGGTGCTTCACTATGACTGGAGTTAGTCTCTGCCGGAAAAAAAAAAATTCAAATCGGGTGGGCTCTGAATTCGTCACGACAATTCGATTGAATCTGATCCATTGAATCTTTCGATTCGATTTCGAGACCTGGATGGTACCGGTACTACTAGCTAGTAGAATGATCGGCCACGACGATCATTCACCCCATGGCAATGACCGGGTGTGCCATAAACTTTTATACCGGAACCCGCTCAGGAGGCTACTGTACAGTGTAGTGTGGCAGGTGAGCAGACTTGACTGTGGGAAGCACCCGGGCCTTGCTCGCAGGTTGTCCTCAAGCACATCTTGTCTGAATCCGTTAGATAGACGTTCAGGTTTTTAAAATAGTCTCGAAGCCGGTAGTGTCGTGAAGTAATCTACGGAAGCATGATTGGTTTAGTATTTATCTCGTTGCCTTCCTGCTCACCCCTTTAGTTGCCCTGATACGCCATTGCTAGGGGGAGGGGGGTTGATTGGAGTAGGGAAGTTATCTACGGAAGCCTGTCATCGGCTTCCCGACTCCTCCAGCTGGCCCCTCCGCTGCATGCCTTTCCTTACTGGAGTCTTCCCACGACCTCGTTTTACAGTGGGTTCTCTGGAGTACGTGTAGGGTAGTGATCTAAATAAGCTGATGGAGGACCAGACTTTTAAAAGACAAGAATGGTCGAAATTCAGGACTAAATTCCGCGGGATCGGGCGACAAACTGGGGACAACACGAGGATAGTTTGGTTTCGATTGAACCATCGATTGGTGTGGGTCACCCTTTGGACCCTCTGTGCCAGTATCGTATGTCGACGAAGAGTGCACATCTGGTTGTTCACGCACCTGTCGAGATGCCGTGGGCAACCGACATAAAATGAAGACGTTCTCGCAGCGCCGACTAAATGCCTGTGGAAAGTGGGGGAGGACCTCATTAAAGACGTTTTCAGTGACGCAAGCTGATGCCAATCAAAGGGACTCTGTGGCCAACAGCAAGAAAGCCAAAGAAATTAAAGACCTCGGCTTGCACTGAAGCTACCGGTATCACTGTGATACCTGAGACCACTGGCGAACTGCACGCCAACTTTTTTGAGTCATCTTCACCTCCAGACGGGCACACCGAAGAACCGCCGTTGGTACCAGATTGAAGGCAAAGGCACGCTACGGTAGGCCAACTTCAAGACCACGACGCACCACGGAAGACGGCCATGGTCACGTCAATTCCTCTGGCGGTCATTTCTTTTGAACGAGGTATGATGCTCGGCTAACCTTCAACTGCTACCGACACTGCTCGCTGCTCATTGTCCGAGCCAATAATGGCCACTCCTTCGCACTTTACAGCTGCATTGGAGTGGTCCAAGGAGATCCTCTCTCCATGTTCCTCTATGGCCTTGCCCTCCTCCCTCTAATCCGCACCTTGAAGAATCAACATCCTTGTGTTCGTCACTCACCAGCTTGCCAGTCAAAGCAGCCTGGCTCTTCCCAATCCCACTAGCACTATCAATGAAAATCGTAGTGCTAGTCAGGACATTTGCAGTGTGATCACAGCTAGTCTGTATGATCCCTCCGAAGAATTCCGCATTGCGGATCACCGTCAGGCAGTGTCTGATGATCGTGAGGCTCTTCGCGCTCGCCGCGAAGCTGCAGCTGCTGTGAACCTTCACAAGGTCCTAGGTACCTTGTCACGTTCCAGTCGTTCTGTTGTGAAGCACGCCCCGGAGACTGGCGCCTGGCTTCATGTGGTTCCAGTGCCAGAAAATGGCACTGTTCTCGCTGCCCAGGAATTCGATATGTTTTGCACTTTGCCCTAGCCACTGTGATGGCTGTGGAGAGCGCGTCAGTGTCACTCACGCCCTTTCCTGTACCAGGGGCGGCCTGGTTCTCCAACGCCACAATGAAGTGCGGGATGAACTCAGTGATCTCGCTGCCAAGGCATTCATCCCATCTGCAGTTTGCGACGAACCCGGTATCCAACTTAGTCGCTCTGCAGCTACGGATGTTTCGCCTTCCAGCGACTCTCCTATAGTTCTCACCCCATCCGTGGAACGCGGTGATCTCCTTATCCGTGGCCTCTGGCAACGCGGAACTGACGGCATAATTGATGTTCGTGTCATCAATCTTGATGCTGCTTCTCACTGTCGCAAGGATCCTGACAAGGTCCTTCGCAATGGCAAACGCGACATGCAACGCAAGTATCTCGACGCCTGTCTTCCCAACGCTGCCACTCTACTCTGTTTGTTGTCTCTGCTGATGGTCTCCTTGGGGCCGAAGTTGAGGCACTCGCCAAACGTATTTCCGCTTTGCTCGCTGCAAAGTGGGAACGCCCTTACTCAGTGGTGCGTGGCTACGTTAATGCTCGACTCAGCCTAGCTATTCTTTGGGCCCGCCACCTCTGCATGCGTGGCTCCATGTCCCTGCTGGCACAATGAGCTACCGTCGTTCTCTCTGGGATGCCGATGGTGCACTTGCACTCTTCCGCTAATTTTGCTCCCTTCTCCTTCCTCGTTTTCCTCCATGTACCCCCCTTTGCCCTGCTCCCGTCCTCATTGCTCTCCCCGTACACCCACCACCACAGCCACCCACCACCGCAGCCACTGCTCTGCCTAGCTTAGCCCCCCTCGCTCCTTAACGTATCTATTTAGTACTTGTCGAGTTCTAAAAAAAAAGGTATGATAGAGGATAGAGGCTATATATACTGCAACCACTGTAAACAGATTCAAAGAGGTTACTATGTGGGGCATGGACTCCTGCATGTAGAGGAAGACTGCAATATATAGTGCAACGCCATGCGAGCCGGACAGCCAAGAGAGCAGACCAACCACAGGAGGAAAGGGTGTGGACGAAGGTAAATTAAGCAGTCTCCCTTGACCTTGTGGTCACAAACTGCATTGGGTGGCATTCTCTCTGAGAGTCAACCAGATGTGTATTGGCTAGACAAAAGCTTCCTTCATGCAGCACACCTGCTAGTGATGTTGGTCCTACATTGACACCATCATAGTCCCATGCATGCCCAGACACAATGCAGCAGTCGATGATGGTCTTGTCCTTGATTGTCATCAATGGCAAGTCATAAATACGATGGCCAAAGAAGAGAGCTTGCCCCTCAATATTGCAGCCCATTCCTTGGAGGAACCAGTTGAAAAAGGGTGTACCAAAGAAGATTGGAAGAAGGGATAAGTCCCAGAGGTAGCAGTGCAAGTCCATGTATATGGCAAACATAGCCAAGGACCAGGGCTTAGTTTGCCCTTCTTTCTGCCCCCAAAAGGTTTGTCTTGGAAACATCAAACACTGAAGGAACAGAAGGAGGAGGCTCCAGGAGAAACAGAACACAACAAGTGCTAGAGCCAATTTGACAACGGGAAATCCAGACAAGGGTGTGTAGAAGTCCACTCGGAAGAACTCATAAGTTGGGATGAGAGAGAAGAAGAGTACTGTTGCTATCAAAGGTGTGGCAAGGTCAACCACCAATCTTTTTGACACTGGCAATCTTGTTCCCTTTGAGCTCAAATCCCCTCGGATACTGGCTTTAACATGGATCATTGGGTGTACCTGGACAGAGTCAACTGTGGTACCCCCATCAACAAACACACCTAATCCAATACTTGTGTTTTCAATGTGAATCTTTTTGTACTCCCCATCTTGTTTGACATCAAAATGTATGACTGATAGTGTCGACTTGTTGATAGTAATCAAATCAACCTTGGATGGAGGAAAGAATTCACTCCAGACCTTAGATTCCATGTCAATGTCTAGTCCCATGCATCGTAGAAAAACATTGACCAATACTGCATTGCTTGCCACTAGATCCAGGAGAAGAAGTGAAACATAGAAATGATAGTCAGCAATCCAGTCCATGGAATCTTGGAAGATAGAGTTGTTGGTTACTGGACCTGGTTTTCGGTGTCCAATCAGAATCCATTTCATGGGAATGCAAACTAGTAAGTTTCCAATACCTGTGAGGACAATGATGAGGAATGCCTTCAGCAGGGTAGAATAGCGCCACTCCGTGCCAAAGCTACCAGCTGTGGTGGCCCACCCAGCAGACCCAGCAATGGCAAAGGTCAAATAGAGTTCCATCAGGGGCCAAATACATTTGGTAATTCTCAACACAGCCATACTCTTCTTTTCATGCTCAGTGTTCTTTTTGGGCTGTGCCATGCCACTGAGGTGAGCAGGACTTCCAGTTGCAACCCCAGAAGGTGGGACCTGAGCACCCTCTGGAAGTGCAGCTAGCTTGACCACATTGCTGCCATCACCAAGTGCCACACCAGGATCTAGATGTCCTTCAACCACACAGCCATTCCCCACTCTGATTTGTCTGAACCTCAATGTAGGAGACCCAGCATGTGGCCCAGACTCCCGCCAGGGACCAAACTTTCTGCATTTGATCCCAAAACTGATTTCAGCATTTTCACCAATCTCCAAGAGATCAAACTCTCGAAGGAAGCAATCCAACTTGGAAGAGGAGTGTACCCTGCAGCCCATCATTGAATAGAACAGCCATTGCCATGGAGTGCCAATGACATACCTGCCAACTAACATCTCCCACAAATGCACTGCCCTGTCAACAAACCACCATCTGATGTAGTATAGGGACTCCACTGGAACCTCTCCGGAAGAGTACTTGCCAATTACAGTCCACTTTGAGAGGCAAACCAAGAGGGTGAAGGTGATGTGCCAAAGCAAGAAGACTAGCGGAAGAAATATCCCCAGAGAAGGTGGTGCTCCATCATAGATGATGAGCTTGTAGCACCAGTAGGATGGAACTGTGCTTACAGATAGCATCAAAAAGAGAGCAAAGACACCAATCCCCTGCAACAGAGTTACTACAGACCAAGGAAGTCTTGTAGCTGAAGTGTCAAAGCTTGGTGCTTCAATGGGGAAGAATGATCCATGATTTGGGCTGAGGATGTACTCTTTGAGTGCAGCTGGGGTTGGATATTGGTCAGGAAAGTCACCGGGGACTGTGGCTGGAAAAGATTCGGCTAGCTTGTTGTTGAGCTCAATCAAGATGAGGGAAGTGAGACCATTCTCATCCCATCCAGAATCAGGATCATAGTCAGATCCCAAGAGTGAAGCAATGATGGCATCAAACTTTTCTTCAGGAGGAAGATTGTGGTAAATTTCCTGGTGTCCATCTGTGGTTTTGCTTGCTGCTATCTTGCCATCACCTGCAAACTTAAATGACTCATCAAGAACAAAAACAACTTTGTGTTCATTTGTATGGAGCAGGTCTCTGTTTCTCCTTCTCTGGATCTTGCCACTGGTTGTTTTGGCTATGCTTCTTTCTTCCAATGCCACAATCTTGGAAGGAACAAGACCAATATCCTGCATGATGGTAGATTTGATGCCCTCACAAACAGCCTGTGCAGTCTTCTTGTTGGCATTCCTAATCTCAAAGACAACCTCAAGCTGGCCATCAGCTTCACCAGTGTCATCAGAAGAGAAAGCTGCCACACATCCTGGACGGACACCATGACAGCATTGAACAGCCAGCTCAATATCTTGGGGATAGTAGTTGACCCCATTGATAATGAGCAGGTCTTTGATCCTGCCACACACAAACAAGTACCCATCTTGCATGAAGCCCAGGTCCCCTGTTTGAAGGAAGGTTGTGCTAGTACTGGAAATATCCTGAGAACTAGCAGAATCTTCTTGAGGGAGAAGCTTGGCTTGGAAGACCTTACTGGACAGTTCTGGCTTTCCATGGTATCCTGCAGCAATGGAAGGACCAGCAATCCAAATCTCACCCGTTTGGTCAGCAGGAAGTTCATGTTTGTTGACAGGGTCAACAATTTTGATGTCCACACAGGGATGGAAGGTTTGTTTGGAACCCACTGCTACAAAGCTCTTCGAGTCCTCTGGTCGTTGGGTGGATAGCCGGTATTCATTCAACCAGGACACAGTGACAACATGTTCTGCCAAACCATAGCCACTGCAGAACCAGGTTTTCCTTAATCCAAAGTCAGAGAATGTGGAGCTGAAATCTTTGTGGGTGTCAAGCCTGATTGGCTCAGCCCCATTTTGTAGATACTGGATGGATGACAGGTCAAGGTTTGGAATTGGACACTTTCCTCCTTTCTTCAACATCTCCTCTTTGAACTTTCTGGCTACCAAATGATAGGCAAAGTCAGGGGCCACCCCCAATGTGACTTTATGCTTTGACATGAGGTCCAACCATTTTAAAGGTTTCTTGATGAAGGTTAAGGGAGACATCATGTGCATTCTCCACCCAGCAGCAAAAGGAACTATGGAGGCAAAGATCAATCCAAAGTCATGATACTGTATGTGACAATTTATGTTTGCGATTGTGTTCGTGAGCTGACTGAATCAACAGAATGTACACCAAGCTCCAGGACAGAAGACATATCTTACCTGTGGCAGCCAAGAGAAGCCAACAATCTTGTCCATATCAAATCCATCCTCAGCACACTTCAGGCTGAGACCATCAAGGTTGATCTGAACATTGGCTTCCAAGGCCCTGAAAGTCACCATGACTCCCTTTGGATCACCAGTGCTTCCCCTGCAATATTGAACTCTTGTTAGTCCTTGCCCATTACTTGATTGACAGAAGATTTGTTGTGTATTTATGGTACTTACGATGTGTATTGGTAGAAGGCAATATCAGACTCAAGAAGGTCTTCCTGGTCAAATGATTCCACTGTTGTGAGAAAGTTTGTACCATTTGTAACCTTAAATGGAATCCCCTTTGGCCACATTCCCTTGCTTTTTGAGAATGGCTTTAGTTCATCCACTTTCTTCATTGCCATGATGGCCATGTCAGTCAAGATCAACACAGGTTGGCAATCATTGATGACTTTCTCCATCTTGGTGAGTGTCTTGGTAAGAGGGGGGAATGGGGGATAAACCAGAATGGCCACAACCCCAGCCCTCAAGCAGCCAAGGAAGGCAGCAAAAAAGTGCAGCCCAAAGCCATAGCACAAGACCACCTTTTCTCCTTTCTTCACTCCCCATTTGTGGTGTAGGTTGTAAGCAATGGCTCCGGCTTCTTCCCATAGCCCTCCAAAGGTGTATTCCTGGCCAATGGTTCCATTGGCCTCATGCCATGTGGCAAAGGTTTCATTCTTTTTGTGGTCCGCAACAGCCTCGAGTTGTCTGAGGAAGGTTGATCTGCACAATGCCATGACTACTTGTTCCTTTTTGTATTGGTGTCTGTTTGATTTCTTCTTTTTGATTTCTAGCTAGCTAGTTTCAGTTTGTGTGCTCTGATGGCTGTTCGAAAAAGCGCTGTGTCGGCTGAAAACAACAGGGCGAAACCGGTACCAGTATGGTCGTTGATACCACTGAAGTTGGGAGAAACACGAACAACCCTGGCTGGCTTCCGTAGATAATCTACCTACTGTGAAAATTTCTTATTCGCGGAATCCTCACCAAGAAAAGTTTGATGCGCACACTCTAAAAAAAAAGGAGCGACGGCGGCTAAGTTCTAGGATTGATGCATTGATTCATGCAGAGCACTCGTATCCATCCAAGGAACAGTCTGTTGGTGGGACCAGTTATCCATACAGGTTTTGTATCCGGTCTTGCCGTCATGAAGCCGGGAAGCCGAAGAGCGTGGTGCCAATCGCCCCAGGACGAAAAACCGACCTTCGGTTCTGCGGATGCCGACGAGACCCTGCCATGAGGACCAGTTTTTGGGAGGAACATCCAAGACAAAGGAGCGCGATGTAATTTTGGAGCATAAAAGAGAGAAGATCAGCGCCCGACTTACAACCAGCCATGTTGGGAAATTTCACAGAATTCCTGTATGTATCTGTCGTCGGGCCCACAGCCAATTTGGTCTGCATTGGGCGGGGGAGAGCAAAGAAAGTTGGAGTTTCTCTCGACTCCCAGCCGCCACCTCTGTTGTCCGCACTCTAGGTGACACGTGCAGTTCACTAGGGCCATCCAGCTACTCGCACGAGGACAAATAGGACTTGTAGACATCACCAGTCATCATCATCACGAAGCAACGCTATATGAGCAAGGAAAGATGGATAGAGAAGATCTGTTACCGTACCGACTTTTGAGTACCAGCGCAAGATTGTTTTCTCACTACACTGTGTAGTTAGGCCGCAAGTGGCACCGGTACCTGGTACGTTTACCCACCAGCCACTTCTGGAGTTGCCATCGTGTTGGTCCCGAGTTTGTCTCCCCGGATCCCACGGGCCTAGCCATGTCTAGTCCTGATTGCCACCCTTTCTTTTCCCAAGCCCAGCCCTCTCCCTGTTTCCATAGATAACTACCCCACTTTTTTAAAAGCTAGACCTCCCTTTTCTAAAGGTTCGTGGCGTACCGTCCCTGCATGTACGGTAGCTCCTGTCGTGTCTCCAGCTAGCTAGCTAGCTAGCTAACTAGTACAGCCGTAGCCATGTCCAGTCTGAGAGCAGTCGATCACCAGTCCCGAGACGAACACATCTTTGATCGCGCACATGTTCAGCAAGAAATAAGCCAGCGGAGCTGTGTAACCTCGGCAGAAAGGTTTCAGTGTAGAAGCAGACACCCCTATAGCTAGCTAACTAGAAGCAGACACCTCTAGCTAGCTAGTGCTTAGCTAGTGCTTTTAAGACTTGTGCTTAGCTAGCTAGAAGCAAATTCCCCCTAGCTAGAAGCAGATTCCCATAGCAAGCTAGAAGCAGACACCCCTAGCTAGCTAGAATACTAGTTATATAGCTTTCGCTGGCTTTAGAGTTTTTCCTGGTAGAAGCAGATCCCCCTACTAGGATGGATGTAAATAGCTTTAGCTGGTTTGCACCATCCTAGCTAGGATACTTATTTAGTTCTTGCTGACTTATTTGTATTCTAACCCTACCCTTATACCTGCAGGGACCACCGTAGCAGGAAAAACAATTAAAGGGGTTGAGGGCTCTGGCAGCAAGACTGCCGAGGTGATCCATTTTGTATTATTTTGTGCTCGGAGTCGAAAGATCCGTCTCGCCTTTGGGTAAACGAACCCTCTTCTTTCTCACGGCAACACTCGTGCTTTGGTCATTTTTTCTCTTGGAACCTCCTTGTCGGTGCTGAACCCATTTGGAACGACTATATAGTAGTATCAGCCTCCACGATGCTTCGGCCGAAGATATCTTTGTGTTCCTTCTTTCTGGGGCTACCGCTGTCCCTGCTGTCGAGTCCTTCCAACGCATTTTCGACGTTATCCTTGCGACGAACCAATGCTCGCGTCTCCCTACTACTAGACAGTATTACTACTACTACTAGTTCCGTCAAAATCCGCCTGGACGACAATGACGATTTTCCAGACCCACACGCGCTCATGGAGTACTTGGACGGCTCTTCCGATTCGGATGGCGGCGGCGGTTTTCTCTCCTTTCAAGAATATCAAGAGCTGCAGCGGCGGCAGCAATATCTGAAAAGCTGCCCTCTGTTCCGTGATTGCAGCAAAGGGGATTTGTTGAGAACGGCCAAGAGCATGGTCTTGCAAGACGTGGCGGCGGGAGAAAAATTGGTCACCCAAGGAGAAACGGGAGCATCGGCCATGTACTTTCTCAAATCGGGAACGTTGCAAGCAGTCGGCGAAAAACAACAACAACTCGAAAACAAGAACAACAATGCGACAACCACAATTCCCCAATCACAAAAACAACAAAAAACAGAAACAGTAATCTACACTACCTACTCCAAAGAAGGCAGCTTTTTTGGAGAACTGGCACTCTTATTTGGACAACCACGTGCCGCATCCATTGTGGCTTCGGAAGCTTCCAAAGTCTACCGACTCGACAAGGAAGCATTTTCCACATCCCTCGTCGACTCACCAGTGTATGATACGGCCAAGCGAATGATCCTGGCCAAATACAAGAGCAAACGGATCCGAGATATATTGCCGAAAATCAGGATTGACGAACTGATGGGCTTGGTCAAGGCACGAATCTTGACGCCCAAAATTAGAAATCTACGTCGTTGGCGCACCACGCTACAAACGTACGCTTTGGGAGCCTGTGCGACGCTGCTCGTAATGAACCATATTCAAGTGGCAGCCTTCAAACCAATCGTCGTGGTGGCAATGGCTGTATTGGCTCACATATTGTAAAATGAAAAATGAAAATGAGCCACAAAAAGAAACGCATTGGATGTGAATGGGATAGAACGATTAAAACAAATTGATAAAGCAGTAATGATAGATTCCGTACCAAACTGTACGTCATAGATTGTTCGTTGATGGAGTTGCGATGCAAAAAGACCAGGACAAACTTCACAAGTACCGTAGGCAATCCGAAATCGGAAGTGCTGCTTATGAAGGAACTGTAGCTGGAATCGAATCCAACAATATAATCAAAATGGTACCGTCTCAGGATCCCAGGTCTAACACGAGCAGACCGAATACAATATCCTCATATGGGGAGTTGGGGGGCCTGGGGCTGGAGACAGGCAGGTAGAGTGCTAAAAGAAATCAGAGTCTGGCACAGAGCAGAGTAGCAAGCCTTCCAGAGCAAAGAATGATCTGGCCGCCGAGATGAATACGACTGATTGTCACCCTACTATCTAGATAGGCAGCAATAGTGTATCGGTATTATCCTTAGTAGGAGATGAATACAATGAATATAGCTAGGCAGCAATAGTTTGGTGTTACTAGTCTTAGTAGTAGTGTTTTTTGAAATGCATATCTGTCCATACCAGATTCAAACCTGTGACATTATCTTTTCACATAGGCCTACACAACCTCCATATCTTCAGATTGGCTTTGAAGATTTTTCAAATTCACTTCCTCCCCATTCAATCTGGGTGGCACAAACTGCATTGGGTGAGTCTCTTTGCTTGAATCCTCCAAATATGTGTTGGCCAAACAGAAGCTCCCCTCATGTAGAACTCCAGCAACAGTTGTTGGTCCAAAGTAAACACCATCATAGATCCAAGAATGCCCCGATACAATGCATGAATCAATGATGGTCTTGTCCTTGATTGTCACCAATGGCAAGTCATAGAGGCGAACTCCAAAGAACAATGCACGGCCCTCTATATTGCAGCCCATGCCTTGAAGGAACCAGTTAAAGAAGGGTGTACCCCAGAAGATTGGAAGTAGAGAAAGGTCCCCCATACGGCAGTGCAAGGTCATGTACATTGCGAACATGATCATTGACCAGGGCTTAGTTTGCCCTTGAGTTCCACAAAAGTACTGGCTTGGGTATGTAATCCAATGGAGTAGCATGTGGAGAAAGAATTGTGTTTCACAGAACACAGCAAGTGTCACAGCCATTTTGACAACTGGGAACCCTGCAGAAGGGGTTCCAAAGTCCAGTTGAAAGAGCTCAAAGGTTGGGATAAGACATAGGAAGAGAAAAGCCAAGATAAAAGGTGTGGCAAGGTCAATAGCCAATCGTCTCGACAGTGGCATTCTTGTTCCAGTTGTGGTAAGATCACCGTGGATGTCAGCTGTAACATGTGTCAATGGATTGACCTGGGCAGATTTGATCGTTACTCCACCATCAATAATGACACTGTGTCCAATGCTGGTGTTCTCAATGTGGATCTTTTTGTACTCTCCATCTTGTTTGACATCAAAATGTGAGAAAGATAGAGTAGACTTCTTGAGAGTGATCAAATCAACCTTGGAGGGAGGGAAGTGTTCACCCCACACCTTAGTTTCCATGTCAATATCCAAGCCCAGCAACCACAAGAAGGCATTGATCATGACTGCATTGTCTGCCACTAGGTCCAGAAGAACAAGGCTGGCAAAGAAATGATAGTCGACCATCCAGTCAAGCGATTCTTGGAAGATAGAGTTGTTAGTTACTGGACCTGGTTTTTGTTGTCCAATCAGAATCCATTTCATGGGAATGCAAACCAGTAAGTTTCCAATACCTGTGAGGACTATGATGAGGAATGCCCTCAACAGGGTAGAATAGCGCCACTCAAACCCAGAGAGTCCAATCGTGATGGCCCACCCAGCAGACCCAGCAATGGCAAAGGTCAAGTAGAGTTCCATGAGGGGCCCAACAATTTTGGCAACTCTCAACACAGCCATACTCTGCTTTTCATGCTCAGTGTTATTTTTCGGCTGTGACATGCCACTCTGGTGAGCAGGACTGCCTCTTGCAATGGCAGAAGTTGGGACCTGGGAACCCTCGGGGACTGCAGCTAGCTTCTCCACTTTGCTGCCATCACCAAGTACCACACCAGGACCTACTTGCCCTTCCACCACACAACCATTCCCAATTCTGATTGGCCTGAACCTCAATGTGGGAGACCCAGCATACCACCCAGACTCCTGCCAGGGTCCAAACTTTCGACATTTGATCCCAAAACTGATCTCGGTGTTTTCACCAATCTCCAAGAGATCGAACTCTCGAAGGAAGCAATCCAACTTGGCAGAGAAGTGAACCTTGCAGCCCATCATTGAATAGAAGAGCCACAACCATGGAGTGTCTTTGAGATACCTGCCAATCAACATCTCCCACAGGTGCACTGCCCTGTCAACAAACCACCATCTGACATAGTATAGGGATGCCACTGGAACCTCTCGGGAAGAGTACTTGCCAATTACAATCCACTTTGAGAGGCAAACCAAGAGGGTGAAGGTAATGTGCCAAAGCAAGAAGACTAGAGGAAGTAGTATCCCAAGTGCAGGCGGTGCTCCATCGTAGATGATGAGCTTGTAGCACCTGTAGGAAGGGATTATGCTTACAGATAGAATCAAAACGAGCAAAATGACGCCAACCCCCTGCAACAGAGTGACTACAGGCCAGGGAAGTCTTGTAGCTGAGGTGTCAAAGCTTGGTACTTCGACGGGGAAGAAGGATCCGTGATTTAGGCTGAGGAGGTACTCTTTGAGTGCAGCTGGGGTTGGATATTGGTCAGGAAAGTCACTGGGGATTTTGGCTGGAAAGGATTCAGCTAGCTTGTTGTTGAGCTCAATCAAAATGAGGGAAGTGAGGCCATTTTCATCCCATCCAGCATCTGGATCATAGTCAGATCCCAGGAGTGAAGTCATGATAGCATCAAACTTCTCTGAAGGAGGGAGATTGTGGCCAATTTCCTGGTGTCCATTACCCTCGCCTGCCAACTTAGATGACTGATCCAGAACAAACACAGATTTGTGTTGATTTGCATGGAGCAGGTCTCTGTTTCTCCTTCTCTGTATCTTGCCACTGGTTGTCTTGGCTATGCTTTTTTCTTCCAATGCCACAATCTTGGAAGGAACAATACCAATGTCCTGAATGACCACAGATTTGATTGCCTCACAGACAGCCTGTGCAGTCTTCTTGTTTGCATTCCTAATCTTGAAGACAACCTCAAGCTGGCCATCACCTTCACCAGAGTCATCAGAAGAGAAGGCTGCCACACACCCTGGCCTGACACCATGGCAGGATTGAACAGCCAGCTCAATATCTTGGGGATAGTAGTTGACCCCATTGATAATGAGCAGGTCTTTGATCCTGCCACAAACATACAAGTACCCATCTTGCATGAAGCCCAAGTCCCCTGTTCGGAGGAAGGTAGTGCCAGTACAGGAATCATCCTGATCACTGTCAGAATCTTCTTGAGGGAGAAGCTTAGCTTGGAAGACCTCTCTGGACAGTTCTGGCTTTCCATGGTATCCAGCAGCAATGGAAGGACCAGCAATCCAAATCTCACCTGTTTCGTCAGCAGGAAGTTCATGTTTGTTGACAGGGTCAACTATTTTGATGTCCACACAGGGATGGAAGGTTTGTTTGGAGCCCACTGCTACAAATCTCTTCGAGTCCTCTGGTCGTTGGGTGGATAGCCGGTATTCATTCAACCAGGACACAGTGACAACATGTTCTGCCAAACCATAGCCACTGCAGAACCATGATTTCCTTAATCCAAATTCTGAGAATGTGGAGCTGAACTCTTTGTGGGTGTCAAGCCTGATTGGCTCAGCCCCATTTTGTAGATAATGGATGGATGACAGGTCAAGGTTTGGGATGGGACACTTTCCTCCTTTCTTCAACATCTCCTCTTTGAACTTTCTGGCTACCAAATGATAGGCAAAGTCAGGGGCCACCCCCAATGTGACTTTATGCTTTGACATGAGGTCCAACCATTTTAAAGGTTTCTTGATGAAGGTTAAGGGAGACATCATGTTCATTCTCCACCCAGCAGCAAAAGGAACTATGGAGGCAAAGATCAATCCAAAGTCATGA